TTATGAACTATAAACTTTTCTTCTGGCTGTTAGATTATTGTTATCAACCTTGTCTGTTATGAACTATAAACTTTTCTTCTGGCTGTTAGATTATTGTTATCAACCTTGTCTGTTATAGACTGTAAACTTTTCTTCTGGCTGTTAGATTATTGTTATCAACCTTGTCTGTTATAGACTGTAAACTTTTCTTCTTGTTTCTTGTTTATTGTTATCAACCTTGTCCGTTATGGACTATAAACTTTTCATCTGGCTGTTAGATTATTGTTATCAACCTTGTCTGGTATAGACTGTAAACTTTTCTTCTGGCTGTTAGATTATTGTTATCAACCTTGTCTGTTATACTGTAAACTTTTCATCTGGCTGTGAGATTATTGTTATCAACCTTGTCTGTTATAGACTGTAAACTTTTCATCTGGCTGTTAGATTATTGTTATCAACCTTGTCTGGTATAGACTGTAAACTTTTAAACTACCTGGACTATCTAATAACAGTAACTTGAAGTAACAAAGTCCTTCTGAAACCGGAAAAAAAAAGGAAATTGGAAATAATATCTTGTTGAGACAATGAAATTACATAAACTAATCTCAGAGTTAGAAGGAATGTTTACAGTCTATACCAGACAAGGTTGATAACAATAATCTCACAGCCAGAAGCATTAATATTCTGTGAACAATGAGGATAATGAGTACGAAAAAATTCGTTAACAATATGATATAGGCAGAGACTTAGATGGCAAACGCAGACGATAGTTAAAGAAAAGTATTCCGGAATACTGCGTACGTGTTAAATATCTCACCCAGTTTGTTACTGCGTGTACGAACAAAGGTAAACATGTGATTTAGCTAAAAATAGTGATAAAAATAACTGAATTTTTCCTTACTTACCACCAATAAGCATGGTGAGTATAGAAAATACTTTTTCGGTGTTGGTGTTGGCAGATACGTTTCCAAACCCTACACTAGTAAGGCTGCTGGTAGTAAAATAGAGGGCGGTAATATAAGCTGTAGCTGTATCTGTGGAATTTACAAGATCGTAACCCAGTTTATCGGATAGTTGGTGGAGCCATCCTGTGGAAAAACAACAACAATATAACAGCTTGATTATTATTGTAGAAACATATAGTTAGTACGTGAACAATATCATACCTTGTTTATTATTGTAGAAACATACAGTTAGTACGTGAACAATATCATAGCTTGTTTATTATTGTAGAAACATATAGTTAGTACTTGAACAATATAATAGCTTGTTTATTATTGTAGAAACATACAGTTAGTACGTGAACAATATCATAGCTTGTTTATTATTGTAGAAACATATAATTAATTCGTGAACAATATCATAGCTTGTTTATTATTGTAGAAACATACAGTTAGTACGTGAACAATATCATAGCTTGATTATTATTGTAGAAACATATAATTAATTCGTGAACAATATCATAGCTTGTTTATTATTGTAGAAACATATAGTTAGTTCGTGAACAATATCATAGCTTGTTTATTATTGTAGAAACATATAGTTTAGTACGTGAACAATATCATAGCTTGTTTATTATTGTAGAAACATATAGTTAGTAAATGAACAATATCATAGCTTGTTTATTATTGTAGAAACACATAGTTAGTTCGTGAACAATATCATAGTTTGTTTATTATTGTTGAAACATATAGTTAGTAAATGAACAATACCATAGCTTGTTTATTATTGTAGAAACATATAATTAATTCGTGAACAATATCATAGCTTGTTTATTATTGTAGAAACATATAGTTAGTAAATGAACAATATCATAGCTTGTTTATTATTGTAGAAACATATAGTTAGACGTGAACAATATCATAGCTTGTTTATTATTGTAGAAACATATAGTTAGTACTTGAACAATATCATAGCTTGTTTATTATTGTAGAAACATATAGTTAGTAAGTGAACAATATCATAGCTTGTTTATTATTGTAGAAACATATAGTTAGTACTTGAACAATATCATAGCTTGCTTATTATTGTAGAAACATATAGTTAGTAAATGAACAATATCATAGCTTGTTTATTATTGTAGAAACATATAGTTAGTACGTAAACAATATCATAGCTTATATGTAGCTCCTTCAATCTCTTAACCCTAACGTCTTTATGTGTAACACGACTAAAGTAACTACTTTGAGACGGGTTTAATCAGCTTTTTTTCTGTGTTGTTTCATATTTGAAGAAAATGATGAAACTTTAATCTCTTACAAGAAATTAGCCACTCCACATTTCTTCTTGTCAGTACTGTGGGACATTTATGTTCAACTAAAAAAATGATTATCTTCGACTCTTGAGAGCACGAGGCTTGTCTGTTGAGATGAAAGTTGAGATCAATATTTACTACAGTAATTACCCACTAGATAAGAAGGCCAAAATTATCTTCAAATTTTGCAAGCTCAGAACGTTTTCAGATAAGTAGCAGGTTTTAAACTCTGTATTTACGAACTCAGGCTCTAGTGCGGGTTAATAGCTCTCCTCAACCCTCGTGTTACTACTTTCACTCAAGCCAGTTGAGGGAAAATATTAAGGGAATCATTTATATAAATTATTAATAACGAAAACCTGACTACACTAATCTTGACCATACCGAATCGTATAAACAATAAATGTGTATTAATTTTTTTACCAGTTTCTTACTTTAGACAAACTAAGCCTTTTACACCAAGACAACAATCCCATTATTGGACACTAACAGCTGGTTCATTGAGCCTTTTCAGTCTTGTTATAATAAGTCAATTATTAATTAATAATAAGTCAATCATTATACACTTTGAAATAATTAGTTATTTTGTATGAATCTTAAGAACTGGTAAAAGATTTATATCTTTTCCTTGTAGTGCAACTGTTATTCAAAGTAACTAGCCATACTTTCTCGTCACTATAACTTTCAGTATGATAGAATTATCAGTGTATTTATATATATATATATATATATTTTTACAAGTTTATGTAATTTGACTTTGTTATATATATATAT